TTAGAATGGTCGCTATTGGCGCATACTATCTTCTGAGCCCTCGGTCTCGACACACTCCTACCATCTGGAACCCATCTCAATCCGCCACACCAGTCGCCGGACGTGAAAATCGTGCTTTGATACCCGCACCTTGATAGCGAGCTCAAGGACAAGACGGTCTGGTCCGAGCGCCGTCTGGTCCGAGCTCAAGATTACAGTTCCATAGGCAGATAAACCCAAATTCAACCGTGATATATAATATGGCAAAACACGCCCACTTATCGCGAAAGTATACTCTGGCGGCAGCCAAGCACGAATAAGTAGACGGTGGATTGCACCCGTCCGTTCTTTATAGGTGAGTTCTCCTCGCCCTTCTACCTCTCAATTATCATCTGTGTTAACATTTATTTTTCAAGTCCACATTCACTCAAAATGCTAGTTTCGGTATTCCAGCAAACTCTTCGACTCAATGCTGTGTGCTGTGTGCAAACAAGGATGTTTCAGAAAAATTTGCCACGTGGCAAAGCCAACTGCGACTGCTGTGCACCTTCCGCCCCAGAAATTTGTGCACCTTCCGCCCCAGAAATTTGTGCACCTTCCGCCCCAGAAATTCGCTGCGTCTATGAGTCTTCCCAGTTTAGCTTTGACGAGCGGCTGGTTCGTGGAGTTCTGACCTAGTTGGATACGGAAAGACAGCTATCACCCCGGCTCTCATTGATAGCACCTGGAAGAAGGACCAAGCTGAGTTTGCCAAACAAGCGCCGGTTGACGGGAAAATCCCTGAAAGGCACACTTGTCGTTGCCTCCTCATCTTACCAGACAATGGGATTCCGAAGTCCGGAAAGTCACTGGAAACGATTCAAGACGCTGGTGACTGCTTCGAATCTCAACTCCGCCACTATCGAGGATTTCAGAGAGGCAGATATCATTATCATTGCTTCTAACATCTTCAAAAGCAACGTTTACCCGGAAAACCTCTCGTCTTTTGCCAGCGTCGACATTTGGTAACTCGCATCACAGTTGAAAAGAAGATGCGGCTCAAACAGCACAGGTGCAGCCTATCAGACGCAGTTGAAGTAGTTGTGCCAGAAGAGGAGAAGGAGGAGAAACAGGAGCAGGAAGAAGATAGAGGGGTGGGCCAAGGTGAAGAAGACCCATACTATCACGGATTCCATGGAAAGTCCCGGGTCCCTGGAAAGCTCGAGAATATCTCGCTAATCGAGTGCGAGAGGCTTGATCACATAATGAGGCTAGACTTGGATCTCAGGGATTGGGAGCATCATCTTCAGGAGCTGCAGAAGAATTTTCCTCATCTGAGACCTCCGCGTCACTCGTAACTTCGGCTATCGTCGTCGTCGTCAGACTTGGCTCGTTTTAGATCGAGACTGTTTCCCACCACGGCCGTTTCACCAAGTTTCTTTTTCGGCGGGACTTGAGGGCCTTCTCAATGGAGGACTCGTCGTCAGAGAAGATTATGGCAGACTTGCGAGTGGCAGCGCATCGGACTCGGGTCTTTGGAGCCTCGGAGGCGTCAGAGTCTCCCCCTTCGTCACACTGTAGATGGGGGAACTGTCCCACTCTGAAGTCGAAATCAAAAAAGAAAGTCGTAAAGAAACAACGTCCTTCCAGCTACAGTTCGGCGGGAGTATACCCAAATGCACGCCCCGCCTTTCCGCCTTTGGAGTCTTTTCCCTCGGCTTGTCACCAATGAAATAGGTCTGACCTTACTAAGTACCTTCCGATTGGTGAGTAAGGCAAACGACTATGGGTACTGTCTGACTTCGGCGCGCTGAAGACCATATCCGCGATTTACTTTGGAATGGCATGCACATCGTTATGGAGTTGGTCAACAGTTCTCAGACTATATTCTGATATTCAAAATGCCTGGCGCAGAACATTGATGAAATCCTATTTGAAATATTGACTTGTAAAATCAATCGCTTTACCAGCTGTGGAGAGACAGTTTACTCATTATCGCATCCCAGGTCATCAATGCTTTCGATCTCCTTGTAAACGGCGTGGTGAGTAAGCTTTCTAAGTAAACGAAATCGCTGCGACGTAACAACTATTGGTCAAACTCAATCGTTGTACGTATTTTTATGCAAATCATTTTACATCCAACTTTTATGACTTGCCAGCTCCACATGGTTCTCTATCGAGACCTGAGATCTATCTGTCTTCACCTCCAGCAGATCGACGCGCATCAATCGGAACGATGATTGCTAAGTATGGCGTTTAACCTTACACAAACTAATGAGTTCAACCACAGTTCGCGATAATCCAAATTCCAGGTTTTTCCTTCGGACTATACAGCTGGCTCGATATTGGAGAGGTATGATATATTCCGGTGCTCTTCCAACTGTCGGCGGGTTTTTCCCTCCATGTTGGGCCAATAAGCGTTATTCAAATGACATTCAGTCAGTAACTCTAACTCTAATTCTAACTCTAACTCTAACTCTAAAACTCTGATTGGCTCTATCCAGGGTTAGTCTGTCTGGACTACTCGCTCAACGTTTGCTCTGCAAACTTGTGCCCTGAACAATTATGTGCTTACTTACGATAACTGTACAAGTAGACCCTCTGCTTAGCTGTACGAATATAATATCAATTGTGCTGCCATCTGCCTATCCGTAGAAATATCTGTGTCCTAAGAAAGTCATGAAAAAACGCGTTCGCAGCATCGCCAGTCCTGATCCTGAAACGAAGATGTGAATCCGGAGCCTTTCGGCGTGACTTGCTCGGACAGGCGCCGCAGCCTATAAAGTCTGCTAACATTCTCAACCACTATCCTTGTCCTTCATTTTAATTCTTTAATTCTTTATCCTCCGTTTCTCATTCTTCATGTCAAACATGTTCAGAACCGATGATCCTGTGCAATGTTTAGACTTCATAGTCGGACTGATGCTCAAGGATGTAAGTTTTCCTCCAGCCTCTTTCTTGCTGAGCTCATTGAGAAAAAGGGCATCTACCGCTTTTTTCAAGAAATCTACGGCATGCAGTACGATAGAAAAATTGACAGAACCAATCATCGCCACCAGCGACGACAGCACCCATATAAAAGACCAAGCAAGCAAAGTCTGTTCGCGTCTCCCTGCTTGTTTTTGTCTTTGATGATTCTGCCATCACACTCATCGCTTTCTTGCCCGCGAAAAACTGAAGTTATCTTGTTTTATGCTCCATTACGACACTCATTTACATTCCCCTCGACAAAACCGACGTTATCTTGCTATATTCTCCTGACGATCTTGAATTGATTGCTTTTTTGAACATTTTGTATGCTGTGTGTTCCCTCTTTTCTTTCTTTATCCTCACGCTTACTGGCAAATATAGACATGCAAAAACCTTTTACGCTCCATAGCGCTCCATACGCGCTCCGAATACACTCATTACATTTCCCTCGACAAAACCGACGTTATCTTGCTTTACTCGCTTTACTCTCCCGACAATCTTGATTAATTGCTTTTTGAAGACGATTCTGTACACTGTGTGTCCCCTCTTTTCTTTCTTTATCTCACGCTTACTGGCAAAGATAGATTTGCAAAACCACGCGACAATGAACTGTAAGTTCAAGTGGCGCGTCTCAAACATTTGAAATTTTTGCTTACAAAACCACCCTGTTATGATTTCCAACAGCCCCAATATCCCATTTCACCGTAGGTTTCGAGCTGCACACGTTTCTCAAACACTGAACTTACATGCAGCGCTTTGCATCCCTTTACGCAACCGAAAATCTACGCGCTGAAATCTCTGTTTGCTATGAAAAACTGAAGTCTCTTTTGTTTTTTTATAATCTCTCTTGAACATGGAATATATCTGACGATCAAATCAATGTACTAATTACCTTACATTTCCAAATGTATATACTTTGTTGAGCAAGTATTCTTGCAAAGGCTCAAGCCTGCATTGGGGTTTGTTGGAAAATGAATTTCACTATACTTATACGCATGGAAGGACAAATTTGTCTATTCGATATCGAAAGTTATTTCCGAATTTGAGAATTGCCCGTATTGAGAGCTTCTACGAGTGTATTCATGACAGACCACACCTTCTCCACCTCCACGCACTTCACACAACCTATCGTGGCGTCACCACAGTATAATGATGTTTGCAGCGTCTCGTTTCTCGACATTTGAATTTGAATTCAAAGGTAAAGAGCGCATTATATAGATGCTCACCTGGAGGCAATTCTCAGCGATCATTGGGTTGGTCAGTAATGGTACCAATCACTGACCAAAGTGGCTGCTTGCAGTCCTCGGGTTAATGGAAACAATAACAAAAAGCATTCGTTGTCCCAGATATTACTCATAGAGGGATTCGAACCCCCGCTTCTCCGGAAAAATCCTTGGGACCATCGAATTATTCCGAGGCATCGTATCCACTTGACTATATGGGCTGACTATATAGGCATGGATATGACTATATGGGCATGGATATAACCAAAATCTGAGTTGCCCCTCATCCTCCCCGTCAGGCGGTAACTCGATATCTAACCCGTCCCACCAGCACTTTCTCTGTAGATCCAAAAAAAAAATAATCAGAGATAACCGGGGTGGGTACGGAAGTACCAGAGAGACGGAAGAGAAGAGACGTACAGCAGGTTTCCGCCAGAACAACAACAGCTTCTGCGCCGTCGCCATCTGCTGATAATCAACCTCGACGGGCTTCGTGTCCCCGCCCCCAGCATGATGCACAATCCCCGGTTTCAGCAATACCAGCGCTATTGAGGATATGCAGCACCGCGAAGGCTCTAAACGCCCAGAATCCCTATTTGTAACAAAAACAAATTGAAATTAGTTTTACAATTAGAGACTTTGAAAGAAAAGAAAAGGAGAAAGAAAACAACTCGAACAAGAAACCTAGTACCCGCCTCATACAAAGCATATTAATCAAATGCTGCTCCGCCACATTATTCTCCTTATTCACATTCCTCTACAGCGCTGTGAAAACACTCCTCTTCCTCTTACGCATCGCGAAATCTTTGAGTGACATCTTGACTTTTGATGGTGCTGGTGTTGGTCGACGGAGTCAGATTTGGAGCGAGAGAAATAGTAGGGGTTTGAGAGCTTGAGCAAAAGCGATGGCAACATTCTGAGAAAAGTAGTCAGTATAACGAGTTTTGTGGTGTCTGAACGAGAAAGCTCACCTCCGAGTGACTCAACGAGATCAAGACCTTCGAAACACCCTTCTCCGTAGCTTTGGTCTTGGCCTTTGCAAACATACCTTGATCAACACCAACGCCGACGAATTCGTCGGTGCAAGCAGCTGACTTGCTCAGTGCATCCTTTGCAAGTACATCTGAGACTGTCTTGAAGTTCGCAGTGTCGATAGCGATCGGGACTTCGTACTTTTTGTTGTACGCGTATGAGCCAGACTTGGGATCCGGCATAGTACGGGCCATCGAGTTTAGGAGCACCTTGTCCTCGAGCTCAGCAGGGTATGGTGGCCGTTCCTTGATCTGAACGAGGTTATTCTTGATCATCATCTCACTCATAGCCTTGTAGCTGAGTTTGGCACGGACTGCTCGGCGCTCCTTGCGGGATGGACCATGAGCAGGACGCCTCCAACTTGACCGAAACCGAACGATGACTGAGATGAAAAATTAAAAGCTGGTACCATTGAAACAGATCATGCTTACCATAATACCAGCCCGGATACCATCCGTATGAATGGTCTTTGAAGGGAACATCAAGTGGCTGCGGTGCTGGAAGTGGTCATCGATGTTGATGATTAACGAAAGAACGAACAGGAGGGAGATCAACTTACTCCGCGTTTCGGTTCCCTGGAACAATTCCAGTGTGTAACGAGTTCATCAAACCAGAGACCTGCCAAGCAGCAGAACCACCCTTAGAATGACCCAAAAGACTCTTCTGTGCCATGACCGGGACAATGTTTCCAGCTGTACGGCCAAGGCAGGTGAACACAGTGTTCCAGATATGTGTCTCGTTCTCCTCCTGTTGAAAACGTTAGCAAACGTTACAAAGAGAAATCACAAATGAAAACTTACGTTAGCCTTGGTACTCGTGCCATGGATAGAAAGGACGTTGATGTCGTCGACAGTTAAACCCCATACAGCCAAAGTACGACGAAGAGGAGCGATATGAGGGTCACTTCCTTCGAGCATGCCATACCCAACTGCCTCTTTCTCTTGACGAGAAGCTTCGTGTTCAATGGCGGCAACCTTGGACGCATAGTATTCCTCATCGACGGTTTGTCCAGATGCTTTCTGGGTCTCAATTTCATCACGTAGCTGTTGTTGTTCGTGGGCCAGCCATTGAGAGACTTGAGTGCGGCGGAAGGAGAGCTGACGTTCGCGGTAGGCAAGGTTGAGGAGAGGGAGAGGCTGCTTCGAGGGGACTTCGCGTGCAATGGTGAGGGACCCGTGACCGGGGGCAGGAATAGATCGACCAGCCTTGTCACTAGAAAGAGGTTAGCAGGAAACTTTAAGCCATTGGTATAAACACTTACGTTGATGTAGAGGTAAAGGATAATGCTGCGGATAGGGCATTCAAGTTCCAAGGCAGTCTTGGCACTCATGACAATATGCACAGCGGATCCTTGCGCTTCCATGAACTTTACGACAAATCAGTACGAAAAGGCGTGGGTAAGGTGATGCAACTTACACCTGAACGAGTACTTGCTGTAGGTCGGGACATTTCTGTCGGCTCACGACCCATGACGAACTCGGAATCCGCATTACTGGTGGCCTTCATGTTGGCGAACTCGTATGATCCTTCCTCACTAATGTCGTCGTAACCACCAGCAATCATAACCTTTGCTTTACCAGCCAAAACGGTGTCACAAGCGATCTCAAGCGCCTGTAAAGCGGTAGCACTAGAAAGGGTGGTAAGCATTTGGCCAAATGACAGTCCAAGGATGTTTACCATGCTCCAACAGGAATCTTTACTGGTCCACTGGACGACATAAGCAGAAGGTTGATTCATCCAGCAGTTGTGTTGATGAACCTTGAGATAACATCCAGGTTAATCCAGGTAATTGGACATGAAAGGGAGTACGTACGTTTCCTGGAGGATGTCATTTTGAACGTCCTTCTCGTCTCGACGATCTATGAACATCTTAGCCAAACTGACTTGCCCACCCATACCACTACACCAAGCGACGTTCCGACCTCTGACGGATGCATGTGTTGGTACAACTCATACGGATCAGTGATACCGGACATGTTGAGAGCTTCCGCAGTACAGACCAAGTTCCAAAGTGTAACTGGGTCAGTCAGGGCAATGATATCGTCAGGAATACCGTAGCGACCAGCGTGCCATCCAGTAGGAATTTGGCTAGCAACTTTGCGACTGAACGAAAACGCTTTCGGAACGAACACGCAAGCACCCTTCTTGAGTTTGAAGAACCATTGTCCACCTTCGCCTGCCCATATGTCGCACTTGTCGCCGTGCTGGAGTTTGAATTTCGAGGCCTCCTCTGCAGTCACTTCGATAGGCTCAAGGTCGTGGATCAATTCAACCTCCTGGTTAAAGACCTTCTTGTTTGGATCGTAACCACGGAAGAGCTCAGGTTCTACGGGGACAGGGATTGATAAGAATAGGAAAATGAAAGACGCAAATACGACGTACCAATCAAACGAATTCCGGCATGCTCAAGAATATCCTTTTCGTAACGCCCTCTAACGTCCTTATCATCAACTGGCTCGCCGCTCTTGCTGTCAACCCAGCCCACATATAGCGAACCGTCCTTCAGACGGCCGTCGAAATGTTTGATGTAACCCATCATCCAAGCCATTTCAATAGCACCTTCAATCGTAAATTCCCCTCTAGCTTCCATCTCCCAACGAGTACGGGACTACCCCACGGTCCTACTTCAGCTGAGCCAGTAATGACCATAACTTTGTCCAAGTCAAGCATGCCACGGAGCTTAGTGACATCTACGAGAGATTCTTGAGATTCAAGTTCAGGGAAATTGAACCGGAAGTTAGCACGAGGAAGAACGTCCACAGTCTGGATCAGGCGTTCCGCATCAACGCCGTTAAGGACCTTGAAATCAGCTGCATTGTCACGAGCGATAGCGCGACGGAGGTCACCCTTCTTGTTAAGTGCGCTTCGAATTCTGCCTGTAACGTCGGCGATGTCAGGGAGACGGTCCATTCCACCATTGAGGTCAGCCCAAATGGGTTCAACCTGAGTAATGCTAAACAGGAGAGGATGCATGAGACCGAGAATATTGAATGCCATCTCTTTAGCGGAGAAGGTTCGAACACCATAGGTTTCGAGACCTTCAGCAACAATGTTGGTGGGACCCATGAGCGTGGTACCACGAGTCCAACTACGAATACAGGTTAGAAGGAAAGCAAACGCAAAAGAACTCACTTACCCAATGACAGCTCCAGCAAGACAAAGATATTCACCCCAGCTTTCGGAGGCCCAACGCTGGAAGAGCGTTTCCAGAGCAATCTTGGACTCCGAGTACAATCCATCGTTTCCAAAGACACCGTGGTTGGGAGACAGAGGGAGAATGACCTGCGTGGGACGTGTCACGAATTGTTGGCTCGCTTTCTTGGTTTTGACTGCTCCAAGGATACGTAATAAGTTGTTCGATGAGCCAATTCCGACTTGTCATCGATGCCATCGATTTCGCGTCCATTTTCAGGAATACTGGCGAAAGGAAGTATGAAATCTAAATCCATTCCGAGAGAGGAATAGATATAGTCCACAAGGGCCTCAACGTCCTGCTTAGATCCCTGGTTGAAAGGCACAACAGTGAGAGCGGATCCACGACTACCGCACATCTGGAAGATGGACTGATAATATTCGACAGTCGAGCGGTTGTAGCGAGATGTGGTGATGATGACATGAGCACCACCAGAAAGCAGGCCCTTGACAACCTCAACACCTATAGACCCTTTGCCAACACCAGTGAGCAATGCATTCTTGTCCTTGAATGTCGTACCGGCAGTAGCGATTTCGTGAAGGATGTCGAGATAGACACTGGTAAGGTTACTGCTGTACTCCCAGGTCGTACCAACTTTCCTCTTCAAGTGCAGAAGGGGCACTTTATCAGCAGACACAGATGTGATGCCAGATACCTGAGGGCGGAGGAACTGTGAAGAAGATCGGCGGCTTCGAGGGGTGCGAGCAGGACGAGGTTCAGGACCCTTGGCTCTCAAAGAACGCACAACGCCCTCATAGAGGGATTTGATGCGGTTCTTCTGGTCCTGGCTAATCTCAGGCTGTGCTTTTACAATAGTCCACAGTTTTAAAACATCGTCCTGGACCTTTTGTATATTGACGGAGCCCGAAACCGTATCGCTGCGGACATTCTCACGCATGACTTCGCTGTACACAATATCACCCTTGCTGGTGACTTCCGTGTGCGGGGCAGTCGGGAAAGTAACTAACACAACGACGTTAAGAACGAAAAATCAGA